CTCGATTCTAAAAAGCCACCCATATGGATCGTCTCCTATAAAGATTGGTATATCCAATTTTCGGCCACTATACTCCGATATTCCTCGCTCACAGTTGTTGTGATTGTATCTGCCTCCCCTTGGTTTTGGTCGTTTTCCCCATTAACTCCAGCTAATCCACTCCCTTCTCCCTTTCCAGCGTCTTCTTCATCTCTTCATCTCATCCACGCATGCATCTCAACCAAACACTCTCTAATCGTACCTAGTTCACTTTCAATCTTATCAACCTTGTTCTCCATTCTTGTACCAACCATAACCTTGCTCTGATACCACTTTGATAGAAACCTGGCTTACCTCTGTCACGCTCAACTCACAGACACTTCCCAGATTATTTCAATTCTGCTGGTTATCAACCCAGAATTTTCAGTCAACCAATTCTAACCAAAATACTACTCTGAATGGAACACAACAATACTGGACAGATTTGATAATTGTACTCAATGACATATCAAAGTAAATTCTATTAAGATAACAATTCTTTACAACTCAAATAAAGCAATAATCAATTAAATCAGAAAAACAGCTCATCCAGGATGAGTCTGCCAACAATAAGAACCCACTAGACTTCGAGAGCCAGCATCTCCCCAAATCCCTTCCCTCTACAAAATTCCCTGCTCCACAGATCCTTCTCGCTGCCTTTTATTCTTCGTGTTCTATTGTTGTAATTGAATTCAGCTCCCCAACCGCTCAGCATTTGCCATTTGTCACTTTCCCATAAACCCAAAACCACCCTCCATCACGCTCAAAGCCTGACCTGAGTCCCTCAATCCTCTATTTGCGCCCTTATTTTTCCTCCTATATACCAAGGTATTGTTAGTCTCATCATATTCACAGTTTATTGCTTGAAAATTTGGATGACTTGATGAAAACTGAAATAAACATTAGTGTATGTTTTGAGTTATATTCTTTTGAAAGATGAGGCCGATTGCACTAACATGATGGATTTAACTTTTTTAAATGGGTCACAAAATTGTTAGAACTGAGATTTAAGTGATGCGGTACTGTTTCCTCCGCCGCCTTCTTAATTTGATTACGTTTTATTCTTTGGTCATTCTAATTATTTTTATGTTTTATGTGAATATGACCAATTTCTCTTCTCTTGCATCTGTCCTGATATACCTATATACATATTTGCTTGGTCAAAATGTGAGAGATAGTTGTTGATCTAGTGTACATTTTATTTCCAAGGTTAAGTGTAATGCATAATTTTCTTCAATTGTGGTTGACCATCCTGTCTTCTCTAATTTTAGCTGTGGCCATATTTGTGCAAATTTTGATATGCTTTCTAATTAAAAAAACTAGTTCTGTGAGTGATTAGTGTACAAACTATTGGCGACTACTGATGATTATAGTATCTATAAATATGAATAAGCAATTTTATGCGAATTCTAATTGTTATATAAGGGATATAAAATTGCTAACATTTTATTTTGTTGTAGCATTTATATAATAAAAATTACATGCTTTATAATGTTGATAAACTGTGATTTATGAGTGAGAGATGTGACTGTCATTCTGCCAAGGTTAATAATGGAAAAGAAGTTAGAAAGAAGCAGGATGATGGCATTTCAAAAGGGAGGTCTAAGCCTTAAATATGCTCAGATGTTGCGGCTATAGCTTTCATATCATTTACAAATTGTACTTACTTTTGGCTTTGTCATCTAGGTAAGCAGCTGGCAGAGCCCCAATGAGGTGACAGAATTGAGAAAGAAGCAGGATGATGGCATTTCAAAAGATCATGTAATGTCAGTGCCAAGTACTAACATCACGATTGAAAAAGCACCTGCTCCAACAACTTTGAGTGCTCCGGCTGTTAACACAGGCGGACGTAATGCCACAACTCTGAGAACCTCAGGGCCAGGATCTTCATCTGCCCTGGATTTGATCAAGAAGAAGCTGCAGGACTCTGGAACTCCTGTTACTTCCTCAGCTGCTCCAGTTGCATCAGGAACAGTGGCCTCAGAATTAAATGGCTCTAAAGTTGTTGAGGTTGCAGTGAAGGGCTTGCCAAATGAGAGCAGCAAAGAAAAGTTAAAAGATGCTAATGGGGATAGTAACATGTCTCACTCTTCTTCAGATTCAGAGGATGAAGACATTGGACCATCGAAGGAGGAGTGCGTTACTAAATTTAAGGTATCTTTATTGCTCTTATTTTGTTAAAATTTCCTCCAATCTAACAATTTGAGTTGGTGTTTTTTACTGTCCTTCCTCTTGGAATTTCAGTGCTTGTCCTATAGATTCATATGTAAATAAAATTTATAATTTTTCCTATGTTATTTCTTGTATTAAATATGTATATTTTATGAATGGTATTTGTCTGCTACTGTTGTTATTATTCTTTTTCGATGCAACTTCAAATGTAGCTTCAGTAATAACAATATCATCCACATACACAATTATAAGAATGATGTCAGTTTCAGACCGTTTGTAGAAAACAAAATGGTTAGTTTTACATTTCAGCATACCAAATCTCTCAACAGCCTAACTAAACTTTCCAAACCAAGCACCGAGGACTTTGTTTTAAACTATACAGAGATTTGCGAAGATAACATACTTTACCATACTCCCCCTGAGCAACAAACCTAGGAGATTGCTCCATATATACCTTTTCCTGAAGATCATCGTGAAGAAAAGCATTCTTGATGTTTAATTGATGCAAAGGTAAATCATAAGTAACTGTCATCGAAAGAAACAGTTGAATAGAGGTAAAGTTAGCCACAGGGAATAAAATATTAGAATAATCAACTCCGTAGGTCTGAGCATATCCTTTAGCAATCAGACGCGCTTTTAGTCGAGTAACTAACCCATCTAGATTAACTTTGACTGTAAACACCCATTCGCATCCAATTGCCTGTTTCCCTGAAGGTAAATCTACAAATTTCCAAGTACCATTGTCATCTAAGGCATTCATTTCCTTTATAATTGCATTACGCCAACCAGGATGAGAAATGGCTTCATGAACAGTTTAAGGGATAGTAACAGAATCAAGGGAAGCAATAAAAGAGCATGATGAGTGTGACAAATGATCATAAGTAACACAAGAAGTAACATGATAAGTACACTGTCCTTTACCTTTTCGCAATGCAATAGGAAGATCATCACTTGAAACTGGATCGGATGACCAAAAAGTTGGCGTCAGACATGAAACAGGAGGAGGTGGACGACGAGAGTAGACTTTAACAGAAGCAAGATCAGAGATAGGAGCCGATGTAGGAAGCACAAGTTTGGTGACAAGGTCAGAGATAGGAGTCGGTTCAGATATCGGTGCAGGGGAAGTGAAGGTATAAACTAACAAATCATCATTATCATCATCCTTCCGACGAATTGCAAGAGAATAGGGAAAGTATGGTGTTTCTTCTAGAAAGGCAACAACAATGGAAATAAGATACTTATTAAAACTTGGACAATAAAACCGATATCCTTTTTTAAGTTGAGAATAACCAAGAAAGACACATTTTAATGACTTAGGATCTAATTTAGTGACTGACGGTCGACCATCCCGAACAAAGCAAGTGCTACCCTAGGTTGAAGAGGAAATAATGCTTTATTAGGAAAAAGAATATTGTACTAGGTCTCACCATGAAGGACAAAAGATGGCATGTGGTTAATCAAAAAGCAGGAGGTGGAAACTGCATCAGCCTAGAATGGTTTAGGAACATTCATTTGGAATAATAAGGCTCTGGTAGTTTCAAGAAGATGTCTTTTTTTCCCTTCAGCTGTTCCGTTTTGAGATGGAGTATCAACACATGAAGTTTGATGAACAATGTCATTCTGAGTCGTAATTTTGAAAATAATCTGACAGATATTCTTTTGCATTTTCACTGCGCAATGTATGAACAGAAACATTGAATTGAGTTTCAATCTCAGTACAAAAAGCATAGAAATAAGAAAACAAATCAGAACGATTTTTCATTAAGAATAACCAAGTCATACGAGAGTAATCGTCCACAAATATAACAAAATATCTAAAACCAGTTATAGACAGAACTGGACAGGGACCCCAAACATCAGAGTNTTCATGAACAGTTTTAGGGATAGTAATAGAATCAAGGGAAGCAATAAAAGAGCATGATGAATGTGACAAATGATCATAAGAAACACAAGAAGAAACATGATAAGTACACTGTCGTTTACCTTTTCGCAATGCAATAGGAAGATCATTACTTGAAACTGGATCGGATGACGAAAAAGTTGGTGTCGGACATGAAACAAGAGGAGGTGGACGACGAGAGTAGACTTTTACAGAAGCAGGATTAGATATAGGAACCGATGCAGGAAACACAAGTTTAGTGACAAGGTCAGAGACAGGAGTCGGTTAAGATATCGGTGTAGGGGAAGTGAAGGTATAAACTAACAAATCATCATTATCATCATCCTTCCGACGAACTGCAGGAGAATAGGGAAAGTATGGTGTTTCTTCTAGAAAGGCAACAACAATGGAAACAAGATACTTATTAAGACTTGGACAATAACACCGATATCCTTTTTTAAGTATAACAAGAAAGACACATTTTAATGACTTGGGATCTAATTTAGTGACTGACGGTCGAACATCCCAAATAAAGCAAGTGCTACCCTAGATTGAAGAGGAAATAATGCTTTGTTAGGAAAAAGAATATTGTATGAGGTCTCACCATGGAGGACATAAGATGGCATGTGGTTAATAAAAAAGCAGGCGGTGGAAACTGTATCAGTCTAGAATGGTTTAGGAACATTCATTTGGAATAATAAGGCTCTGGCAGTTTCAAGAAGATGTCTGTTTTTCCCTTCTGCTATTCCGTTTTGAGATGGAGTATCAACATATGAAGTTTGATGAACAATGTCATTCTGAGTCGTAATTTTGAAAATAATCTGATAGATATTCTTTTGCATTATCACTGTGCAATGTATGAACAGAGACATTGAATTGAGTTTTAATCTCAATACAAAAAGCACAGAAATAAGAAAACAAATCAGAACGATTTTTCATTAAGAATAACCAAGTCATACGAGAGTAATCGTCCACAAATGTAACAAAATATCTAAAACCAGTTTTAGACAGAACTGGACAAGGACCCCAAACATCAGAGTGAACTAACTCAAAGGGAGAATTAGCTCTTTTATTGACTCTAGGACTAAAACTGACACGATGATGTTTAGCAAACTGACATGACTCACACTCTAATGTAGACACTTTATTAAACTGAGGACACAATCTCTTCAATGAAGGAAGAGATGGATGGCCCAAACGACAATGTGCTTGAAACGGGGATGCAACACTAGAACAAGCGACAGGTGTAGATTTTGGTCTGTCGAGAATGTATAAACCTCCAGATTCATGTCCTTTACCAATAATCTTCTTCGTCGTAAGATCCTGAAACAAGCAATAATCGGGAAAGAATAAAACACAACAGTTAAGAGCACGAGTAAGTTGGCTAACAGAAATCAAATTGAAAGAAAAATCTGGTAAATGTAAGACATTTGACAAGGGAAGCTGTGGAGTAGGGGTAACTGTGCCAGACCCAAGAACGTAGGATGGTGACCCATCTGCTAAAGTCACATTCGAAAGGGTTTTTGATTGATAAGTAGCAAAGAGACTGGGATTACCTGACATGTGATCTGTTGCACCAGAGTCAATGACGAATTTGGAGGATGAGGAAAGGAGACATGTATTTGGCTTACCTGAGTCAGCCATAGCTGTGACAGGAGTAGGTGAAGCTTTTAATGATTCCTGGTACAATGAAAACTTGGCAAATTCATCTGCAGAGATAGGAACTGACTGATCCGAAGTATTATTAGTGGATGCAACATGGGCAGAGGGATTTCTTTTATTTCTGTTCTGAAGCTTTCTACAATCACGCTTCATGTGTCCTGGCTTATGGCAATAGTGACACACAATTCCTCCCATATTACTATTTGACCCTCCTCCTTTGTTGCCACTTCCAAATTGTGATCGCCCAGATTCATAGTCATTCTTTTGACTGACGAGAGCACCACTAAACTGAACCGGTGGGTTACTTTCTGTGCGAAGTACCCTACTAAAGACATCCTGCAACTAAGAGATCTCTGGACTGACTAGAACCTGAGACTTAGTAGTCTCAAATTCAGAAGGAAGGCCTGCAAGAAAACTCATGACTGTCATTTGCTCCCGTTGTTTTTGTTGAACTTTGATATCAGCATTGAAGGGTAACAACATGTTCAATACTTCATAAGTCTTCTTAAACTCCATAAAATAAGTTGTAAGAGACTTATCTTGTTTCTCTGCATGGTAGAATGCCTTACACACTTCATAAATATCATTTCCATCACTGGCTTTGTATCAGACATGCCTTAAACAGATGATAATCCCAATGCACATCAACAAACGGATAAAACAAAGCAAACTAACCAAATTTCATTGACACACCAAATCAATCAACAGCCACCACCAACCAGAAGCCACAACACAGCAAAAGTCCAATAACCAAACGAAAACAAAGTGTTAAAAGATCACAACTAAATCCTCAAAAATATCCAAACAAAGAATAACAGTAAACCAGTAAGAGATTACCCAATCCAGCATAAAAATGTGTTGTACAAGTACCGGCGAAGCAGACGAAGGGAATTGGAGGAGACATCAGCAGTGGACGCGCTTTCATGCTCCAGTGTGTGGTACTGTTCACTAGAGTTTCGGGTGGCATATGAAGCTCACATGCGGGGATTTTGATGGTCGGAACTCGGGGTTTTGCCTATCGGCGGCTTCTTAATCTCCCTAGGGTGGTGGTGTTGAACAAATCTCAACCTAAATAGGTGTTCTCAATTTGAAACCCAAACCCTAATTTCCTAATTTTGAAACCCAAACCCTAATTTCCCAATTTTGAAACCTAAACCCTAATTACCTTTTAAGGCTTTGATACCATGTAAATAAACGTACTAAGGATGAATATTCCACTTCTCATTCATAGCGTAAGAGGATACATATTTATATATACTTGTAGTGTTCTATACTTGTAGTGTTCTAAACTAGGTAGGTGATCAATCTCTATTAGGATACAAGTGATCCCTATNCTAACAATTTGAGTTGGTGTTTTTTACTGTCCTTCCTCTTGGAATTTCAGTGCTTGTCCTATAGATTCATATGTAATTATAATTTATAATTTTTCATATGTTATTTCTTGTATTAAATATGTATATTTTATGAATGGTATTTGTCTGCTACTGTTGTTATTATTCTTTTTCGATGCAACTTCAAATGTAGCTCCAGTAATAACAATATCATCCACATACACAATTATAAGAATGATGCCAGTTTTAGACCGTTTGTAGAAAACAAAATGGTTAGTTTTACATTTCAGCATACCAAATCTCTTAACAGCCTAACTAAACTTTCCAAACCAAGCACCGAGGACTTTGTTTTAAATCATACAGAGATTTGCGAAGATAACATACTTTATCATACTGCCCCTGAGCAACAAACCCAGGAGGTTGCTCCATATATACCTTTTCCTGAAGATCATCGTGAAGAAAAGCATTCTTGATGTTTAACTGATGCAAAGGTCAATCATAAGTAACTGCCATCGAGAGAAACAACTGAATAGAGGTAAACTTAGCCACAGGGGAAAAAGTATCAGAATAATCAACTCCATAGGTCTGAGCATATCTTTTAGCAATCAGACGAGCTTTTAGTCGAGTAACTAACCCATCTAGATTAACTTTGACTGTAAACACCCATTCGCATCCAATTGCCTGTTTCCCTGAAGGTAAATCTACAAATTTCCAAGTACCATTGTCATCTAAGGCATTCATTTCCTTTATAATTGCATTACGCCAACCAGGATGAGAAATGGCTTCATGAACAGTTTTAGGGATAGTAACAGAATCAAGGGAAGCAATAAAAGAGCATGATGAGTGTGACAAATGATCATAAGAAACACAAGAAGAAACATGATAAGTACACTGTCGTTTACTTTTCGCAATGCAATAGGAAGATCATCACTTGAAACTGGATCGGATGAGAAAAGGTTGTGTCGGACATGAAACAAGAGGAGGTGGACGACAGAGTAGACTTACAGAAGCAGGATCAGAGATAGGAGCGATGCAGGAACAACAAGTTAGTGACAAGTCAGAGGAACAGGAGTCGGTTAAGATATCGGTGTAGGGGAAGTGAAGGTATAAACTAACAAATCATCATTATCATCATCCTTCGACGACTGCAGGAGAATAGGGAAAGTATGGTGTTCTTCTAGAAAGGCAAAAACAATGGAAACAAGATACTATTAAGACTTGGACAATAACACCGATATCCTTTTTAAGTTGAGAATAACCAAGAAGACACATTTTAATGACTTGGGATCTAATTAGTGACTGACGGTCGAACATCCAAAAATAAAGCACAGTGCTGACCCTAGGTTGGAGAGGAAATAATGCTTTGTAGGAAAAGAAATTGTACGAGGTCTCACCATGAAGGACAGAAGTGGCATGTGGTTAAAAAAAGCAGGCGGTGGAAACTCATCAGTCTAGAATGGTTTAGGAACATTCATTTGGATAATAAGGCTCTGGCAGTTTCAAGAAAGGTCGTTTTTCCCTTCTGCTATCCGTTTGAGATGGAGTATCAACATATGAAGTTTGATGAACATTATGTCAGTCGTAATTTTGAAAATAATCTGACAGATATTCTTTTGCATTATTACTGGAATGTATGAACAGAAAAAGAATTGAGTTTTAATCTCAATACAAAAAGCACAGAAATAAGAAAAAAATCAGAAATGATTTTCATTAAGAATAACCAAGTCATAAGAGAGTAATCGTCCACAATATAACAAAATATCTAAAACCAGTTATAGACGAAACTGGACAGGGCCCCAAACATCAGAGTGAACTATTCAAAGGAGATTAGCTCTTTTATTGACTCTAGGACTAGAACTGACACGATAATGTTCAGAAAATTGAACATGACTCACACTCTAAGTAGACTTATAATGGAGACACATCTTTCAGTGAAAGAAGAGATGGATGGCCAAACGACATGTGTTGAAACGGGGATGCAACGCTAGAACAAGCGACATGTGTAGATTTTGGTCTGTCGAGAATATAAACCTCCAGATTCATGTCCTTTACTAATAATCTTTTTTCCGTAAGATCCTGAAACAAGAATAATCGGGAAAAGATAAACACAACAGTTAAGGGCACGAGTAAGTTGGCTAACAGAAATCAAATTGAAAGAAAATCTGTAAATGTAAGATATTCTTTTGACTGACGAGAGCACCACTAAAATGAACGGTGGGTTACTTTCTGTGCGAAGTGCCCTACTAAAGACATCCTGAACTAAGAGATCTCTGGACTGACTAGAACCAGACTTAGCAGTCTCAAATTCAGAAGGAAGACCTGCAAGAAAACTCATGACTGTCATTTGCTCCGTTGTTTTTGTTGAACTTTGACTCAGCACTGAAGGGTAACAACATGTTCAACACTTCATAAGTCTTCTTAAATCCATAAAATAAGTTGTAAGAGACTTATTTGTTTCTCTCATGGTAGAATGCCTTACACACTTCATAAATATGAGAAACATTCCATTTTTCAGAATATAGAAACTCCAAATAATCCATCAGTTTTTAATAAACTCAAATGATTCATTAGACCAAGTACCTCACCGTCAATAGAGGTCCGTATTTGTAGAATCAACCGAGCATCATCCCAAAGCCAGTTCTTTTCGAATCATCCTCAGGTGGATCATTAGTCATATGATCATTTTTTCAATACTCCGCAAATACAAGTATAATAGGTTACGCCATCATGGTAATTAGTTATACCAATGAGCTTAGTTCTATAATTTTTGACCGTCGGCATAATCACATGGCTTTGTATCAGACAGCCTTAAACAGACGATAATCAATGCACATCAACAAACGGTTAAACAAAGCAAACTAACCAAATTTCAGACACACCAAATCAATCAACACCACCACCAACCAGAGGCCAAAGCACAACAAAAATCCAATACCAAAAGAAAACAAAGTGTCGAAAGATCACAACTAAATCCTCAGAAATATCCAAACAAAGAACAACAGTGAACCAGTAAGAGATTACCCAATCCAGCACGAAAATGTGTGTACAAGTACCGGCGAAGCAGACGAAGGGAATCGGAGGAGACATCAGCAGTGGACGGCTTTCACGTGCCAGGTGTGGTACTGTTCACCAGAGTTTCGGGTGGCGCGTGGAGCTCACGCGCGGGGATTCTGATGGCGAACTCGGGGTTTTCGATCGGCGGCTTTGAATCTCCCTAGGGTGGCGGTGTTGAACAAATTCAACCTAAATAGGTGTTCCAATTTGAAACCCAACCCTAATTTCCCAATTTGAAACCCAACCCTAATTCCCAATTTGAAACCTAAACCCTAATTACCTTTAAGGCTTTGATACCATGTAAATAAAAGTACTAAGGATGAATATTCCACTTCTCATTCATAGCGTAAGAGGAACATATTTATATACACTTGTAGGTTCTAAACTATTAGGTGATCAATCTCTATTAGGATACAAGTGATCCCTATAATCCAGGATTTTAATGTGATCCCTATATCTAGGAAGTTATATACATCTGTAACAGTGAGAAATGCTAGTTCATAACTAATTGTTTAACATGCCAATGAAAATTTTACAGGAAATGCTTAAGGAAAGAGGATTGGCACCATTCTCAAAGTGGAGAGGAACTGCCAAGGATAGTATTTGATCCTATTTTAGTTTGCCGACTCTAAAGATCTTGAATATTGTTGAGAATTGGAGGCCTTTACCACAGGGTGATCTCACACCTTAGTAGATATCTAGTCCACTTTCTACTCTCTTTTGATTAAGTACTTTTTTGTTTATATCAAAAAAGTATATTGCATCTTTGGTTAGTAGCTTTGGATGTGATATTAAGAATTTGCCTATAAAATATTTTTTGTCTTCCTAAGAGGCAATCCCAGAATTTATGAGTTAGGTTCTGTAGTGGAAGTAGGGCTGTATGTAGCTGAGCCGGACACATTGGCGTTCGAGCTTGGCTTGTGACAAATGAGGGGTGGTAGCTGCCGAATGCACCAAATATATAACCTTACTGACCTAACTATTGAATTGTATAAAGGGCAAGCAAGGGTCGATCCCACAGGAATGACGATTAATTTCTATATTCTAAAACAATAAAAACAACAGAAACGCAAATTAAATTCTAAATAGAAAACCTGACAACAGTAATGAAGGGGGTTTGTAATCAGGGCAAACAAAAGTAAAACAGAGAAATAAAATATCAGGTAAACAATCAGCTCTCGGTTCAAAATCCACCTAAACATGCACTGGACATAAAGTAACCGTAACACTGTTCTATCTCATCATTATGAAACTACTGACCCTAGGAAAACAACAAGCTCTGTTACCCGAATTCCCTTAGTTTGTCACTACCGAAACAAGCTCTTCGAGTAGATATAACCCTTGAACAACCTAGAACAAGCTCTCTAAATTTAATTCAATGGCAGCCTTAAGAATTAGGAGAATAGATCAATCTAAGCAACATCACTCAAGCTCGGATATTTAACTTAGGTTATGTTATTCAAGACAAAGACCGAAAAGTGCCAAATAGCTATCATCATGTGTCACTCGTTGAATAGAAAAAGGACAAACGGATCACAATTCCTAATTCAACAGGTAAATTCTGATTAAACAATTTAGCAGGCCAAAACTAAATCACTCAAATAAGAATCACAACATTAAAACAGAATAACATAAACAATTCCAATAAAAAACGAGATTAAGAACATGTTACTAGAGTTAGGTTACACAATGACATGAAATTAGGCTTCAAAATCCCCTTGAATTGAAGAAGGAAATTAGCCGCACATCTTGATCTAAAACGCAAAAACTCTCCAAAATTAAAACTCTACTGTCTCCCCCCGTTTAACCTAAAAACTTCTGATTAAATAACATGTGTTTTCCTTAATTCTTCCCCAAGAATCACGGAATTCTTTCCTAGACGTTTCCTAGAAGATAGACTTCCAGATTTGATAAAATCTGATCAGATAGGATTCCAGAATTCGTCTCCAGTTTGCACCAGGATTCTCGCAATGTAAAAGATCTTTTCTGGGCTCCATCACTTCATAAAAATTGTAGTCTAGGATGTGTAGATGAGTTTGGGCTTTTGAATCACCCGCTTCGTATCCGACGCTCCAGTGTAGGCCCATTTGAAGATTCGATGCTCCGCTAAGGAATCCTTCTGCAACTAGGATTCCAGGTCCGGTTTTGAACAACAACAATGAAAACCAAATGAACTCGGATTCTCACTAATATACCTTCCTGAAAAGCTTGATTTGTCTACTTTAATTTCTCTGAAGACATTTTGCAATTGAGGAATCTATCTCCATGAAAAACCTGGAAAACACAGCAATGGTCAGAAAACGAAAAATCTGGAAAATCTGGAATTTCCTAATCTTTTATACTACTTCCTAAAGTCTATCCAACTATGCCAAACTCACAAAAAAACTTAATCAATTCAAATAGGCATAAAACATAACAAAAAAACATAATATGGAAAGAATAAAATATATCAATACACTCTTATCAAGGGGGTCTAGGTAATGATTATTTGATAGACATTTGAGGGTCATTGTGTCCGAAATGTTATTTAACAAGGCAAAATAGGTATAAAAATTAGTTGCCATCACAAAAACTCTCACAGGAACCGAAAACTCTACTAATAAAGAAAAGGATTATACTCAAGAATGATAGGAAAAAAAGTCAATCTAGTGAAGTCATGTCCCTAAGGATCAAAGCTGAAATCATCAGGCACTTGGCAGGTTATAGTTAATTAAACTAAAGTGTAGACTTTTCAAATGAAACTCTAGGCAAGCTGTCAACTTCTGATCAAGATGCAATCATGCAGCAAAAAGTTACTCAAATTCAAAAGTTTTACGACAAGCTAGCTACCACTGAAATTATGACTACTGTGCCTATGAACCAGCTCTTGATTTAAAAAAAAAAAAAAAAAAAAATCAAATAGTGACTGTTTTCAATAATATACAGTAAGCAAAGTATATTGAAATCTCCTATCTCTGCAGTTCTTAGTGTAAAACAAGGGCCACTAAGTTTATTTGTAGTCGATACAAATGCTAAACAACATCGGGCATTTGTATCCAAAACATGTGAAGAACTTCCCAAAGAGCAATTCTTAATGATTTTGATGTGAAGTAGGCCCGCTGGCCGCCACTGCTGGAGCCTGATGGTTATGATGAAGAAAAGGCATGTAGTAAGGATTGTAGGGCGAATGTGCCGCCTTGATCAAGGAACTGCTCCCATTGATTTTACAAATTTTGAGATTATCGAACAGGATCTTGGCATGGAAGCAAAATTTGATCTTCACAACAGTAATGGTGATGTTTTTTTGTTAAAGGGAACGTCTTTCTTGTAACGGTTAGGTAGCTGTTAACTAACTTACGTTAAGTGATGGTCAAATAAACGCCTGTTAAATAACCTGTTAACTACGTCCGTTAGTAAACGGCAAGTGAGATGACAGTTAGTTAACGCAAACCTAATGGTTGGTAGATGGTGGTGAAATTGACGGTGTTAAATATTGGTAAAACTAACGTCAGATAGTTAACAACATAAACCTGGTCGTAAGTTAATTGTGAATTTAACAGCATTAGCTAACGGTTGAGTGCTTCATTTTGGGTGCTGCAAAATCAAAGTGACAGATGAACTCTGAAATAATTTAATGAGTGATTTTTGGGTAGGCCCTTTCCTGTCTATGACTTTTTTGAATTTAAGGTTTTAAGAGCGTTAAAGCATGCTTGGTGAAGCGTAAAGACACCTTAACAAGATTGATAAAGGTGAAGAAAAGAGAGGTGAAAGAGAGACAATTGAGATGTTAGAGTATGCTAAGAGAAAGTGCTTTGTATATTGAATGAATTTCTTCATGTTTACAGTACTTATTTATACAAAATTGTACTAGCTATGTATGGTAATACAATATTACAAATAATGATATAATTTCAATAATAAGGCAAAGAAAATCATATCTAGCATAATTAGGAATGTGAATAATTTACATATTCTCATTCTATGTCTGGATGATATGTGAAAAAAAATCAGATATTTTCTTCCCATATTCGTATGTTAACAAAAAGAAGATTTTGTTATTCATCACAAAGTTTCAGTCACACCCTTACACAACTCAGTTTTCTGTGGTTATCAGAATTTCAGCAATTCCACGAGTGCAACTATATGGAAAATCACTTGATCCCCAAGCTCAGGCTGTAATGGAAGATTCAACTTTAAATATTTAGACAATGACATCCAAAATCTTAAACTGTCAAGTAAAATAAAAATATTGTATATCTTTAATTTATATTCCTGTGTGGATATATGCATCATAAGAGAGTACAATTAAACATTGACATTTCATTATATTTCATTCTCTTTAACTAGCTAATTAATTGGATATAAGTGTTTGAAAATCTATTAAAAAATAAATAAAGAAACAAAACCTTGAAATAATAAGCGAAATTAAACAGGAGGGTGTAATAGATCTCCCTCTTAAACGACGGTTCCTGTAGGCCTTTGTACTTGGCAGCACACATGGGGTTTAAAATTCTTTAGCTTGTTCACAACATTGGATTTCAAATTCTTTATCTTCTTCACCAGAGAATCCAAAATTTCATCATCAGTTTGCATCTGAACCATGCACATTGAGAAAATGTAGGTAGCTGCAATCAATGTGATTAAACTCCACATCCCAATGAACAAAAAACTTATTTTGGAGAGGAACTTGACTAATAAGCAAAAGGATTACGCTCAGTGATGCCACAAAAGAAAGGGTGTCGCAATTTACCTTAGGAAAATAACCATAAAATTCAAGTAAGGCCTTATAGAGAGCCTTTAAAGCCCCACATATAATACACCCCTAACTCCTATTTTCACATTCATACAACAAGTTGCTTAAATTTCCCCCTTTTTAAACCCTACCCAGCAAAAAACATTCAAGATTCAACATCCAACGGCTTTTTTTTTCCTCCAAGCTAAAACCAAAAACCCTTCTCTCTCATCTTTTCCAATCGCCCAATTTAGTTCATTTCTCAGCGGATCAGATTTCCATTTCGTGGGCTAATTATGTTAATTTCATGGGTTTCTGTTTTTGGTTATTGTGAGTTGATAATTGAAAGATTCTAACCAAGATGGTGGAGGCGAAGAGTTTTGATGGAGGTGGGGAGTTTTGACTGCGGTTGTTAAGTTGGAGGGGGAGGGGGAGGGGTTGATGGTATGGAGGTGGGGGGTTTTGCTGCGATTGTTATGTTGGAAGGGGTGAGTTTGGTGGCGATTCAAAGTCTCATTGTTGATATCCGGCAAGAAAGTGAGAGTGAAAGGGAGAGAGAGGAGCGTGGCGATGGAGCTAAGTGGGTTAGATTCAGATGGCAAACAGTTCAAGAATGCAGAACAAATGTAGAGACAACAAATTGGCCAAGAAGGCCAGCCCCACAAGAAGACTCAGTGGTACCGCGAAGGCGTTTCATATTGGGATGTAAGTCGTTTTCATTTTTCTTTTAATTGAATGTGATTGTTCCTTTTAAATTTTTTCTTTCTTGTTGTATCAGTTTGTTAAAATCAGCTAATTGAAAGTTTTGTGTTGTGAGTTCTGAGAAAATGGCGTGGAGGCATCGGTTGATGGCGTTTTGGGTGGCTTTGGTAAAGGGCAATGAATCTTTTTTACAGACCCTTTTCTTTGAACGCAAGAAGTGCAGCCATCTTCTGGAGGACCATCAGGGGGATCTTCAACCGCAATTGCTAGTCCTGCTTCAGTTTCTGGTGGTAATGCAACTGGGTCAATGCATGAACCTGCCCAAGTTAAATTTGCAAATGCCTCTGATTATGCCGTTCCATCTTTGACATTCTCTTACAACGCTGGAGGGTCTCAGCAGTCAACATCATCTTCTGTCAGTGCCAGCTTTCGTTGTTTTTCTTACTTATCTATAAATCTTATTTAACTTGTATCTCTTCTTTTATTTTCTTCGTATGTTTTAAATGCAGGTCATTAACTCAAATCCATCAGCATCACCAGTGGCCTTTCAACCTCCGATAACTAGGTCGGCTTCTTCTTCAGGTACCTCATTTTCATATAACCAGCATTTAAAATCTAATATGGTGAGAGTTGAATCTTCAGTGAACCATTTCTTTATATATATGGGTTTCTTAGGTGGCATCCACTGATTGATGGGACAGTTTATTTGAACAATCCGAGTATAGTTTTAGATAGGTATTATCTTTTTAACTCAAGTGAAATAGGTAAGAAGCCAAGATACTGTGCTATTTCCACTGCATATCATATGCTTATGACCAGCCATATTGTTTGTTATATCTTACACCTTTTGGTAGGTGCCCCAAGATTTTATGTTATGTTTTGTCATCGCCTTCATTGCCTCATTATAAGACCTATTTGCATTCTCAAATTAAAAGAAGTTTCCATTTGACTTGTAAAAATGTTAAGGTTTCTAAGAGAAAAAAATTTCTTGAGTAAAATTAAAATGTATAATTTTCAAGTGCCGGGCTTGATAAGATATTTTTCTACCCTTTGATGAATTTTCTCTTTTTTTTTTTTTTTTTCCTTTATTCAATAAGAAATTGTATAAACTTTTTTATTAGAAAAGATGATTTTTAATGATTTGCAATTACAAAAAACAAAGGAAGCACTATAAGCAAAAAAGCTGTGAAATATGACCAAAAACTTAGATGTCTAGACAACCACCAAGAGCAAAATCCTAAACAGAAAAGTAATTACAAAACCATGTGTAGTTTATGTGGTCTTCCAGCAATAGCAAAATCTCCTCTATGTACAGTCATGAACAACCTTTTTTCTTATTCCAAGTTACCATAAGATAGCCATCATCACACAATCCTACAATACAGAGGCTTTATACTCCTCAGGTTAGATTCAGATGGCAAATAGTTGAAGAACGCAGAACAAATGTGGAGACAACAAATTGGCCAAGAAGGCGAGCCCCACAAGAATACTCAGTGGTACCGTGAAGGTGTTTCATATTGAGAAGTTCTTGGTGATTAACTATGTTATGTGTAGCTGTTATGTTTTTTGCTTTTGAATTGACGAATAAGTGTTTGTGCATTTTTTTGAAGTGGCTTTGGAAAGGTTAATGATGTTGATATAAAGGGCAGTGAAGCTTTTTTACAGACCCTTTTCTTTGAACGCTTTAACAACGCGGCTAGAACTCAGCATCTTGTTGCTCTTGGTAACTATGTTAATGGAGTTTTTAATTGTTCTTGGTGATTAACTATGCTATGTGTAGCTGTTATGTTGTTTGCTTTTGAATTGACGAATAAGTTTTTGTGCATTTTTTTTGAAATGGTTCAGATTGTGGTTTTGGGATTGGGAGAATCATCAAGAATCTTTTAATAAGATATTTTAATGAGGTAAAGTGTTTTTTTTTTTTTTTTTAATATTTACTAGTTTAAGCAGTGTAGTCTTAGATATAATCTGGCTGCATTTTAGTGATATGTGATCGTGCAACAACGTCCTTATGCGGTATTATTATAAAAATGAATAATGTAACAGCTAGTCCGTTACAATCTATTCCGAGTAAAAATTTGTTTGTAGAATTAACGTTTGAATACTGATTATGGAGTACCCCTTTTAGAATTAGTTCACTTGAAGAATAATTACTTCGTTTTGTTGGTCGGTGGTGATATGTGATTATAATGCACTTAGGTAAAACCTCAAGTGGTGAACTTCATGTTTGATTTGACTTCCGTTCATGCTTTGTGTTTGCAATTGCCACCTCTGTTAACATTTCATACCACTTGCCCTTGAATTAATGTTTGGATTTTTTTAGATGATGATATTGCTGCTTGCTTCCTGTGTTAAACATTGCCCTATGACTTAGTTTATGCAAGGTTATCTTGTCTGAAGATTATATCTTTATCAGATTTTGAGGCTTTTGTTTATCTTGTGATGATGCTTGTTTATTGCATGGTGTTTGGATAGGAGTAAACTTCTGTTGCACAATAGCTCAATAAATTGAATTTCAACATTGAGTTTTGATTGCAGATGATGGAGGTGAGGGGGCTTGTTGCGGTTGTTAAGTTGGCTTCTCCCTGCTCTTTTCCAATCGTCCAATTTCATTCATTTCTCAGCGAATCAGATTTCGTTTTCGCCCAATTTCATTCATTTCTCAGCGGATCTGATTTTCATTTCGGTAATTGATTTCTTAACACTTTACTTCTGTAATGGTCTGAGCCCAATTTTTTGCCTACTAGGAACTCTAATTTTCTGATGACTGTATTAATGTTTGAAGACATTATTAGAGCTCATGAAAAGTTCATTTGCAGTTGAACACTTACATTTGTTAACTTGGAAACACACCCTTGCCAAGGTAAGGAGTACTATGTGCTCCATTTCAATCAGATTACTATATGCCCCATTTCAATCAGATGAAGGAATGTTTGAATTAGTCGAATTTGCTTTAATTAGTAGTCTCGACTTAATTTGATCATGCTGTACACAAAATTTTGGGTATATTGTTTGTAACATATCCCGCTGTACCTATATGATTGGAAGGTGTTTCTATTCCTCTTTCTGTGTAGCATATTTTTCTTCTTTATTCTTTCTCTAAGTCTAATCAAGGTAGATACTAGTGTTTGAAGATATTCCTAGAAAGCTTGGATCTTCAAGGCTGATTTACCTGATGCACAGTTAAACTCATTAATGCTTTTGGTTACTCTACTGCTATCATTTTTTCATAAATTAACCTAACCAAATCGATGTGCCCCTGTAAGCAACATCATGAATTGTTGTAGTTTTGTAAATGTTTGGAGGAAGCTGGCATTTGGCCTTTTTTGTTGTGAAAAGAATTTTTAGGTTGTATATGGAGTTGAGTGCAATACTTGCTTTCTTATACTATGCCTGACATAAGGTATAGATGTCATAATTGAGATGGACCCTTAGTATTGAAATAAAGGTGTTTTTTTTTTTTTTTTTTTTTCCTTTCATTGAGTTTGATGAAGATTCTAGAGTTAGACTGCTTCCTGTTGAAGCAAATGATTTGATATTTTAATTTTTAAGTTGTTGGAAGTCTTAAATTATTTTGAAAATTGTCAACTAATCCTAACATGAAAGATTTGCAAAGTTGGTTGCATTCATATCTGGAGAGGCAGCTTGCTGCTTAGAGAGAAGAACAATGAATGGGTTTTAAACAGTGGTAATAAGGCTAAGTGCTAGTTGATGCATGCTTCATATTCTCTTGTTCATATAGCAACTTCATTTTCTCTCCACACTTCCCATAGTGTTGTTACCGGCATCGATGATAGGGGCTTATCATTTAATGGAAAATTTCATCAATACAATCCTTTACTTGACACGGGATTTGATTAATTCTTTAGTAACATGCAAATTCAGCTATATTTAGACCCTATTATTTGTTTATTAATTCCCAATTGAAAAAGATAGAAGTATTTATATTCGCAAGGCCCTTGATACTATTACTCGTTTATGGGATTCATTTAACAACTCCATATTTATTATACGAATTCAAATTAATTCACAGATAATTCGAGCAGTTAAGTTTGTGAATTCAATATTACTCTTAGAATATATGCAATAGGGTGTATATATATATTTAAGGGTTAATTGCATTCGCCTTTGAGAAATAGCAAACTTTTTACCAGTGTTCTGAAAATCAGACCAGGCGTTGATTCGGTCAAAGATTCGATTTTCGGGTTAATCGGTCTGACCGGTGACATCATCAAAAGAAAAAAAAAATTTAATTTATTAAATATGTAAAAATCATCTATGTTTTCTTGAACAAGGGGACAAATCTTTTAGTCTTTTTCTTCTCTCCTTTTCTCCACCGCTTATTCTTTTCTCTCTCATTAATTATCTTTTTTGGTTGCATATCCCCAATATTAATAAATTTCAAATCTCTAAGTGTACTCTTTTATAAATAAATGATTAAAAGAGGCTTTTCTTCTTCTCTCTTTTTCTCCATCACTTCTCTCTTGGGGAGGGGTGCAGGTCAGGTTGGGGTTGGGGGATGGGGGCTTCATGCCCCCGAGGGAGGGAATAAACCACATCCCTATGGGGATGGAGTCACTCTCGTCCCCAACCCGATGAATGGGGTTTTGCGAGGAATTATCCTTGCAGGGATTTTTGCCCTATATGGATCAATAATTATCCTAAAAATGATTAATATAATCAAATAGAATTAATTTTTATGTCATTTTGTTTCCTAATTAGTATTTTTTTTTTTTCTTTTGCTATAATTAGAATTTTACCCACTATAACTAAGACTCATTTTTATATGCAGATTTTTCTATGAATTGAATATTAATCAAGTATCTTGGTGTGATTTTGTCCTTCACGATTAATACATTGATTAATTATTCAATTTTAACATAATTTAGGTAAATTGATTAATTATTTAATTGTATAGAGGTTTGGGCTTAGTTAGCCCTATTAATTAATTAATTTTTCATAAAATTAGTATAATTATATTCAATTTAAATATAATTTACTAGGTAAATTGATTAATTATTCAATTGTATGGAGGTTTAGGCTTAGTTAGCCTTGTTAATTAATTAATTTTTCATAAAATTAATACAACTATATTTAATCTTAACATAATTTACTAGGTAAATTGATTAATTATTCAATTATATGGAGGCNAGGTTCCTGGTGAAAATTTTTGTTCATAATTATTGGCCGTACTAGAATATTATAGCATGTTATCTACTTCTCCAGGCCAAGGTTCCTTGTGACTTTCCCAGGGCTCAGGTTAGGAAGAAATTCTGAACATGTTGGCGGGATCAGATTGTCTCTGCTCATTATGCTGAGCTATTTTGTGCATCAGCATCCTTTGTTCTAGGATATGTGCATACGCTAATAGGAAGTTACAGTGCCCATTCTCTTGATTTAAATTTGACCTAGTGCTGCAGGTGGATTTGTTATTTATTGATTTGGGAAGAGAAGCATCCCAAGTCTTTGAGATCATGGTTATGAATCATGTTTAATAGCTTTTGCAATGAAATTCTTCTGTCTACTTGTTTTCTTGTTCTAAAAAGTCCACAACTGGTACTAGTGTTAGATAACAAGTTTCTGTGCTTTGCCATTTTATTATCCTAAGACTGATTATTAGTGAAACTGGAAGACCAGTGCCTTCCATAAGAACAATACTTAATTTGTCCAAATTATGACAGTGAATTTTGCTTTCTGCAGGATGATAAATCTTCTACTTGTTTTCTGCTGCACTGTCAGAAGTTTATCGAGTTAGTACGGGTATAATTTTCTTCCTTAATGTGTTTCTTAGGGACTTAATGTTGCAGAAAACCAACCAAATGGTTTTATATTAGAATTTTTTTGTTTTATTAGCAAGGGATAGTTTCATATTTTGGCTTCATCTCAATGCCTTCCCTGGTGCCTCGAATTCTCATTTCATCTGATTTAATATAGAAAAAAGTTTTTGATATTTTTTTAAAATGTGTCTATCATATTTGAAAACTTGTTACGCTTATGGTTATCCAGATTTATATTACTCTCACGATCACATCTTTGGTCATTTTTAGGTTATAAAGTGATTTTAAGGATGTCTTTTTTCTTAACTCAGAAAGGATTGGGCTGCTGGAGTCTCTTAATTTTGGAACTCCCAGGTCTTTTATTTTGTGGATTGCTATTCCACCTCTTTATGAATCAATTCTACTTTAATAAACATTTTTGTGGCTTACAAAAAAAAGTTGAATGCTATCATAGGCCCTTCTTTTAGTTAGCTAAGAAACCTATATCTTTGGTAATATTACATAGTTATTATAGCTTTTGGCCTTTAGTGATGAAGAGCTATTGGGAGAAATGGGCGCAGGTCAAAGTCTTATCAAACTTAATAAAAATTGATATTATGTAATTAGATTTTTTATATTACATACAAGGTTGGAGCACTAGAGGAGGCTGTGAAGTATGGAAGGACTGAATTAGCAAAATTTTTTGGGTTGACTGGATTTGCTGATTTGGTTCAGGTATGAGAGAAGTCTTTTGACAGTAAGTAGAATGTTGTTTGCTTATGTGAAAGCTAATTTTTTTATTAAAAAAAAAAAATGTGTAGGACTGTGTTGCTTTACTGGCGTATGAAAAGCCACAGGAGTCATCGGTGGGTTACCTTCTTGAAGATTCACAACGTGAGGTTGTGGCTGATACAGTTAACGCCATGATCTTGTCAACTAATCCTAACATGAAAGATTTGCAAGGTTGCTTGCATTCATATCTGGAGAGGTTACTCAGGCAGCTTACTGCTTGCTGCTTAGAGAGAAGAACAATGAATGGGGATCAAGGAGAAGCTTTCAAACTACACCGGGTTTTGAACAGTGGTAATAAGGCTAAGTGCTAGTTGATGCATGCTTCATATTCTCTTGTTCATATAGCAACTTGATTTTCTCTCCACACTTCCCATGGTGTTGTTAGCTGATAATCAATACATGGGATGATAGGGGCTTGTCATTTAATGGAAAATTTCAATCAATACAATACTTTACTTGATTGATGCAAATTGAGTTATATTTAGACCCTATTATTTGTTTATTAATGCCCAACTGAAAAAGATCCCACCCTCGTATTAAAATTTATATTCACAAGGCCCTTGAGCCTAATACTCGTTGATGGGATTCATTTAACAACTCCATATTTTATATACGGATTCAAATTAATTTACTGATAATTCAAGCAGTTAAATTTGTGAACTCAATATTACTCTTAAACTATGTTCCAGTTAGGGCATATGACTTTCATGAAATTCGGTTTAATATATATGTTTTGGGTTAATTGCATTCGCCTTGAGAATAGCCAACTTTTTATGCCCTCTGAAAATTGCTATGGCGCCTAACGTTTAGGGACAGTATAGAATAAACCTTATATTTTAAAATTACGACATTTTTGTTTGAAAAAAAAACTAAATCCCTAGTATACTAAAATTTTCTACGAGACTATGACATTTTGTTAGTTCTACTATAAATTATTATTTTACATACTAAAGACTATTTTATTATGGAGTCTTTTGTTAATTTTTAAACCTTTATTATGGGGGTGTTTTAGCTAAATTTCAAAATGTAAGGGGTTGAAAACGCTAAATATTAATAATAAATAATAATATTAAAAATTTAAAATAGAGAGGCAACTCAGTAATCTATCTATATAATATACTCACTAGTTTATTTCCCTCAACCAAACATATCAATATAATATGCTCATCAATTTATTTCAATCTAATCAAACACATTTAATATAACATTCTTAGTAATCTTCAATGTAATCTATTTTTCCCTTAATATGAGATTTTTAGTAATACAACATTCCCTGAACTAAAAGCACCCTTAGTTGTATCTTCTTGAAATAGAAGAAGAAAAACATGATTGACTTCTCTTGACTTATGGCCGGATGGCAAGACCATAGGTTAACCAGAGGTCTTGTGTTCGAATCCTATCAAATGACCATCTACTACATTTGTGATTTATTTAGCCAATTAAGCTTGTAGGGTATTCAATAGATCCGAAGGATTAGTAGAGATGTTTAACTGGCCCAAACACTCAGTCACCAAAACAAAAACAAAAAAAGCATGATTGACTTGATAGCCAGTTCGTTTCATGTTATGTATAGGAGGAAGTTTGATTGTTTGATAGGGATTAGTTTTAGTTGTCTTGACACTTGGAAGTTTGTGGAATTGAAATGCAACCCAAATTCCATGCTCTTGAAAGACTCGACTTAATTATTGACCAATTGTAAGCATGAAACAGGAAGCTCTTTGATTTTTTTATACTTTCTTTTTGAATATGTTTCCGTTGATGATATGCTGCTTGTTCCTGGTTTTGGGTAACCACATTTTGTTTCTTTGTTAAGGAGAATCAAACATTTTTGGTAGTGAGAATCTTGTGTGTTATAAAACCAGGGGGATAGTAGCTAAGCTCTTACTATCAAAACCAATTATTAACAGAATATTTGGTTATAAACTGAGAGAAATATTTATATTTTATTTACAACAATGGGTACATAGTGAGGAGGATACTTGCAATTTAAAAAATTTCAAAGGATGTTTATTGCTTTTTAGATTGGCCATAGTAAAATGATAATGTTAATTACTAATGAATCAATAATAAGGTTCTTTGAAGAATAGCACATAAACAATACAACAAATGGCAAAGATAATTATAACTATATCAATGGTGAGGGCTGACATTGCTTGATCACTTAGCTCCAAATTTCTTCCACCAAGGCGATCTACCAGGTCTGGAACAGATTCATAGTTTTTTAAATCTTGTTCATAAGGATCCTCCAACTTCATTTTCAATTTCTCAGCTTGGCGACTGGCAGCCTCTTGAGCAAGTGTCCAATCATAAAATCTACGGCTCTCTTCATTGCACAATACGTCATAGACTTCTCTTAGCTTCAAAAACCTCTCCGAAGCTACTTTTAAGGGAAGTGAAGTTGTGTCTGGATGGTATTCTTTTGATAACCTTCGGTAAGCTGCTTTAATCTCTTCCAAATCAGCTTTTGCGGATACTCCTAAGAACCTGAATTAACAACACTACTGATATTATGTTTTAATAAGTGCTTTAATTTTGGAACATGCATTAATTGAAAATAAAAGGTAATGTTGGAATGAATAGGGGTAGGGATATCTATGAAAACACCCCCTCACCATTGTCCAACTTATAATGAAAACACCCCTACTCCACAAACAACCATTACCTTCACCTCCACTTCATTCCACACTTGAAACACCTAACTAAGCTTCGAAGAACACCATTACATCAACACCTTCATTTCACTGCCAAGAAAACCACCACTATTCCAAAACCAAACAACCCAATTTACCACCAAATCAACAAACCACTAAGAAAATACGAGAGAAAAATAGAATCAAAAGCAAATTGATAAAAAGGAATGCCCAAGCCATTATAAGGTGGGCATTGGGCAATGGTGATGAGGGTGTCATGCGATAGAGAATGGTGGTGGGTGAGGCTGTTTTTTTTTTACTTTCTTATTATTATTATCATTGAGATTAGATTAACTTTTGAATTTTTTGAATAATTTGATTGATTTTTGGAATGTCTAAATTCTTGCAAATGTGATATCTCACATGGCTGGGAAAGAAAATGTGAATGTTAGTTATATAGTATTGTCTATCAAACATTAGCAAAATATCGTTAAAGTTGTTAGAGGAGGGTTAAAACAATCATAGCACATACCTGAGGGGGTTTTTAAAGCTTTGGCAAATCTCGAAGGGTTTAAAAATAATCCCTTCCTTCTTTTACAAGTAAGATATTTAAGACCAAGGGTAAAATTGGTATATAACCTCTACGGTTGTGTGAATTGTTAATCCTATTAAAGTGTGACAAATGGCAGGGGGTTTTTACATCATTATTGTTAGCTAAGGGGGTTTTCAGATTTGACCAAACTCATGGGATTTAAATAATTATCCCTTTTACCGTTGGTTGACAAGAATAAGGGGAGGTTGTTGCTATTTCTCATACTTGTGGGGAGTGTCATACTACTTGAAACCTCAGGGGAGATCATAAATAGTTACCCGATTTACTATCTTAAAATTCACCAAATTTTAAATTTTTTACCGAAAATTCAATACAAATTTAATGGTATCAGAGTCGTTGAGGTAACAAAAAGAACCATCTCTAAATTCTTTCTCGCATCTATTAAATTGTAAAATATGCATAATTAGGAATTTAAGTCAAGCTTCTAAATTAAAAATCCCATTCCATACTCTAAACTCTAAAGCTGTGGCAAGAATAATAGATGTTTGACAAATAATTAAATACACTCACTGGTAATGAGAATCAGAAGAGTTGTTCAGAAGATCAGCAAATTTGTCACCCAAGAGGTTCTTCTGCTCATCTTCTGCATTGAAGTTTTGCTGTGTTTGTTGAGTACCGCCAATCCAACCTTCATCTGGGTTGTCCCAGTGGATTCTTGTATCAACTCCTGGAGGCTCTTTTGGGCGTTTGCCCTCTCCTCCTTTTGAAGCAAAAACTTGTAATATACCATGTTTTGTTCTTGATCTTCTTAAACTTCTCTGCTGCTCTTCTCTTCTCTGGAGTTTTTCATAATTTTGTCTTTTGAGAAAGAGAGAATATGGAGCTTGAGGAGTAAATGTGGAAGCCATTACTGACAAAAAAGAATGGCCGGCTATTTCAAGTTGGAAACGCTTCAACTTTTATGGCCTTGTGTTTTTGTGGTTCAGAATTATTCATTAAATCTTTATCTAAATTTAAAATCTTTATTGAATACTCTAGCTCAGTTGACTTTATGGCAAGAAAATTTTTTTTTAGGAAACTTAGAAGATTTTATAAACAAAGTTAAGTGAAGTTACAATAATTGGTTATAATATTTTAATTTGTTTAACTTTTTATTTTAGGTCTTTTTTTTTTTTTTTTTTGGTTTTAATAAATGAATCTTTATATCCATACAAGATAAATGTATGTAACCATTGTTAACTTAATTTAAGTGGTAAAACACAACATAAAATATAGTAAACATATAATTTGATTAAATTTTTTAATCTAACACTTTAGTAGATCTATAGTGTGACTGTTTGAAATCTTACTAGAATAAAGTCTATAAATATCGTTCATATTTTAACCTAATGATATTGATATTGTGTCTCAACCCAACACGAACTCACCTCAACATATAGTTTGCAAATAGTGTGGATTGGAGTAAAAATGTAGGGTAATAAGTTACCCATTAACCACTAATTTTGTGGTCAGGTGACAAGACTTTTAATTATCTAAATAGATTATCCAAAGTTTCAATGCCTGTGAGATTATTAGTAGTACCCTTTTTTAAAAATGTTAATAAATTTCAAAATCCATTTCACCATCCAGTAGCAACAACCGCCTTTTTTATTGGTACCACAATGGCCATGCCTTTGGGTATTGAAACAACATTACCTATTGATAAATCCCTAACTTTAGGTTTAAATTGATTCAAGTATCAAATTGTAAAATATGATGACTTGTGCATTTGGGGAGTAGTCGCTTCAAAGTCAAAGTTACCCATTATAATAGGTCAACCCAATTCTTTATGAGTTGGATAATCACCCAACCCACACGAATTGGACTGAATGAGAACCCAATCCAATGGGGTCTTCTTTTTTTGGGTTATTCCCACTTCTCTGTATTTAAAGTCTTTGAACTTAGAAGCAGTGAAATATTCCACATCAACCAACACAATCTGAATTTTAAAGATTATTGCATATATATAGGGAGGTTTATAGTTCCACAATATGGTAACTTCAACTAAGAAAAGCGAGGCAGATAGCTGAATATTGTGCCAAAAAAGTGTTGCCTATGCAATTCTAAGCATAATTTCCATTGGTGTACTATCTCACAATCGCAATCCTACAGTCAAATGGAGCAAATGTAAAGGATATATATTTGCCTATCGGAACTATTTGTTTGTATCATTTCTAAATTTATCATAAAAGAACAAGTAAACTTAATATCATGCTTCCAGGAGAGTTCACGATCCTGCATGACGATAATACAGAACCGACCGATACAGGGCAGCAACATGGAGAAAGCCGATTAGCAATATAAGGAGATCATCCAACAAGCCAACTATCCCTAAAATTCCTGTGGATAAAAACCAATAATTAATTATCTTACTATGATGATACACTATAATAAAAATGTAAGAAAGCAGAGATACCTTCAGGAATGATGTCGATGGGACTCAGTACATAGATAGCACTAAGTATCATCTGTTTGTAAGAAAAAGAATTAGAATCCATCTAAATAAAATGAATATGAGAAGGAACCCTTTCTCTAAATCTCACAAATAAAAAATTGTAAAACTAAATCTGATAATAAAGATAGTAGTAAATCACACATCATTCATGCAAGTGATTAATACAATCTCACAAAACTCAATTAAAAGACATATACAAACTACATAATGGGTTTATTAGCTCAAAAGGGAACACCCTATTGATAGTTTTTACATCACCTTCATCTGGTACGTCTTTTGCTTACTGGCAAATTTAAGGAATAATTTCAAATTAACCAACAAAATACAAGGTAACACAATGGCAAAGAAACTTTTATGCGTTCTGAAAATATGTGGAACCATCATAACTAGAGATTTTAGGCAAAAACCAAATTATTATGGTACACTCAGAAAAAATGTGAAAAAAAATATCTATGATCATGTAAATATATTAAATATTACTGTTTACTCAAGTATTGCCTCAATGGAAGATGAGATAAGTCAAACAGATTCTACAATCGACCCAATAGCAATTATGTCAAACTTATCTCCACATTCCTATTAGAGAATAGTACTTAGAAGCCAAGACAAAATTTATTTTAAGGAATGAACAGGATAAAGCCTATAGACAGCCATTCAATAACTTACCACAAATTCTGTCAAATGTAGAGATCGTAGAGATCTCAGTTATGTAAATCATGCATGACAGCAATGTACAAAACAAATACAGATAGACGGCGATTTTAACTGTAACTGTCAAATAAATATTTTATCCCAATTTAACATCAAAGCATCATTAACCTCAAGAGAGGTGGAACTTGATGAATGTTAATGTATGCTCAGGCTATCAAAATATGATGAATGCATGATAAATCATGTAGGATTGCTGATCATGTAGCGTTTGAAGCGGTGCATATAGTATTTATAACATGAATATTTCTTATTGCAGAATGTCACAAATGCCAAGTTTTATCCCAACCTTCTTATCACAAGTGATACGTCTTTTCTATGTGGTATAATCACATCATGGTCAACAGAGTTCCTCTTTTAAAACCTTAAGCTTTGTGTTTATGCCAAAATCAGGTACTCAATAAAAAGTAATGAATGCAGCTAGGCATAAAGGAGAAATTTTGTGTACATTGATGGTCGAGGAGTATTTCAGTTTCAAAGAGATTTGTATGGAGAATATGCAAGTTCACAGGAAATTGTGAAGCTTGTCAAGAATCACACCATGATTGCAGCAGTGACTTCTTATAACAAAGATGACTATTAATTGAAATATTCTCAATTACTCCTTTAAAGAACAAGTTGTTCAGCTAATTGACCTTGTGTTCTCAACTGCTTCCTAATAGAACAAGTCACTAGAAAGCTCAAGGATGAGCTTGTTGGCTGCACTTTAAAAGAGTGAAATGCTGCTATAGTTGAGGGAAGATATTAACAATGGGCCTAGAAGGATGCTCAGGGCCAATCACCAAATAGAGGTTTATATACCTCTTCACCAATACCTTTTAATGCCTTAGTAGCATGTTAGCGTGGGTTTTGTTTCAAGCTGGTCAACAAGATATGACTTAATATAGGTAGTTCATGCATTTATAGACCGACAGAGTTCATTACATGTCCTCATAGTAGAGTGTATTTTGATCAATTAATTTAAACTTCAATGAGGTGATTAGAGTACATAAAACTCCAATATCCACATGCTGATCATGATGTGAAGTTTATGATTCATTTTGAAAGAACTTGGTAGAGAAAGCTTGGCACTATGTTAAAGTATGCAACAAGATAGACTAAGGTTATTAATTGTACCCTACGAAATCTATTAAGGTACTTTATGAATTACTATATTACAAAATAGGGTCAATTTTCAGCACAAGTTGATTTGCTTATAATAGTACTAACAACCATACTACAATTCGTTCTCCTTTGTGGCTGGTCACAGATGCTCTCTAGACCGTGTGTTAGACCTAGTAACTTACAAAATGACATCAGGTTACTATTGAAAATGAAGACATGTTGTCAAATATTGCAAGAAGATCTAAACAATGTCTTTCTTTTCTACAAGACAAGATCCATAATTCTTGATGTAATTTAACAATTAGTCAATCATTAATAAATTTAATTTAAGCAGGGTTAGCACCAAAATATCAAAGTAAAGAAGAAAGTTTTAGCAAAATGCCATTGTGATAAGACAAATGGTGTAAACGTAAATTAATAATATAAAAGGAATAAAGCTACCATACCTTTTACGTTCACATAATTTTATTTATTTATTATTCTAATTTTTGAAACAATAAATAAATTATATATAGCACATTGTGGCACAACCCTAGTACAAAATATGCATAATGTAATTGCAGAAAATGAAGGAAAAAATGGGGAAATTTTATTTAAAAAAATCATGAAGGTTGAGAATCCTTTAGAATGATAAGCAAATACAAAACAACAATTTAACAAATCTTTCTCCATTTCTTTGATGTTAATACAATAATCTAAACGTCTGACATGTTAGAAAACTTAAAACAGTAGATAAGAGATGTTATCATTCTATTTATGAAAGTAATTTTCGTATATAAATTACTATAAATTGTTTAGGTAAGATAATATTTATTATTAATTATTTGAATGTGGTTCGCAAATTAAGAGGATCCATTCATATATATTTCGTAGTGGGTTGTACCAGTTGCAAGTGCCATTTGTTGTGACTTTTAGAAACTAAGATCTAGCAGTTTCTTACTTGCATAACGTGATAGAGGGAGCAGAAGAATAATTAGAGAGATAATCAAGAATTAGGGAGATACGAGAGAATTTAGATAGGTCAGGAGGAGATATTAGGAGAAGAGGTACCAAGAAACTCAAGAAATATCAATAATTAACTTATTCATCAACTCACTCTAATATTTCCCACACACACAAGACTTATTTATAAGTTTGGCAAACCAAATCCTCATGAAAATAAGAATTCTTATAATTCTAATCCTAGAAAAGCAATGAATGAAATTATAATCCTAATCCTAATCCTAATTAAACAATAAAATAAAAGACTAAATCAACTCATAATTGAAATAAAACTCTAAAACTACTAATCCTAAAAATTATATATTCCTCCTACATCACAATGTCAACCCTAGTCCTCAGATTACCATTTTTACTTCCTTATTCTAATAAAAGTACTATTTTTTCTACTCTCAGTCCTTTTAACATTTTACTTAATGGATTAAACCAAATCTATATGATAAGTGTCTAACTTACTTTCGATTGTATGAATTTCTCATAGATGCTGAATAATTCTGTAATACAAAAACATCTAAACCTTTTTAGCAAAAACAAAATTACTGATACTAATTGCACAAAACCTATACAAGCATGCATGGATTTTCAGAGTAAATTATTAACTGAGATACAAAATACTACCAAAATTACTTGCATGGTTTCTCAGTGACTTAACTGTAATATAAACACGGGCTCTGATGACAAGAGGAAGTGATCTCTGAGGATCCACCAGTTCCCGTAACAATCTCCGCAGAAGAAAAGGAAGGTCTTGCATTCTCTGAGAACAGGAGAAAGCATCTCAAAGTTATAATAGTTAAAATGCTACTTAAAATGTGGAAGTCGTCATAAATGAATGAAAAAGAACTTTTGCAAATAGTATTCCAATGCCAATCAACCCCTTCATTACAAGAATTAAGAACAATTCAGGAACATTTAAAAGGAGTTTGTAGAAATGAACTACGAATTAACAAAAACCACATAAGTTAGCATAAAACATTCCAGCTTCTTAAAAAGCAATAATTACACCTGATTAGACTAGATGGAAGAAAGAGCAAGGAATTAATAGAGAAATATCAATGGTGGCAAGTAGATCCAAATAACTGACTAGTATCTTTTAGAGGTTGTCATGCTCTACGTAAGTCAAAATTTGAAATGCAACTATTTTATAGCCGAACAATAGTACCATAGATTATTTAAGTAGCAAATGCAAGATGAACATAAATTTCAGTAAAACTCACAAATCTCTTCTTTAAAAACCAGTACTTGTACATCAAATTACAATTCAGCAGCACAGTTCAGATATAGGTTTGGAACTTATAAATGAAGTTGAATCTCCCTGATCTTCAGATGGTTTGTGCTGAAAAATCATAGGCATCACCTCCAGATACTTTTTTGGGCAGTTGAAAAGAATCCAATTTCAGAGAACCAGAAAATAAAGTTATGCAGACAAATGAAGAGCTGCAAATTATCATAGGAAACGGGACAACTAACTGAAAAACTAAACAGTCATTTGGCAAGATCTGAGTAGGAACTTAATAATTGAGATGGAATGGCTAATGCAGAATGGTTTTTCTTGAAAGCAATCATGTGGTAGTTGGAACTTGAGAGAAAGGGGTTTCTTTTCAGAACCCCATTGATGGGTTAGTTGTCCAGCTTCTTCAAACTAACCATAAGTCTTTATGCTAGCTTAAACTGCGTTTATAAAGCTATGGAGAATGCAGAAACTGTTCAAACTCCGTCAAGTGTATGCCATGCCTCCTACACGTGTGATGCGTCCATTCACGAGTACAATGCTCAAGGCCAGCGGCCCTGCTATAGTTTTGTTTCTACAGTTTACACTTTCTTACATTACCATTTAAGTCGGAACAATAAATCCAATTCTCCGCTCTTTTTATCATATCAAGTCGTTCTACTGAAATTTAGCCTATAAATTTTTATCAATAAATAAACACTAACATTAAAAAAAAAAAAAAAAAAAAAAAGGGTGTGTGGCAATCAAACTGCCCCAATAGATATGAGAAATGTGCCATTTATAAGCCTAAATATCAATATCTACCAAAAATTCCCAACTTGAAAGAGGAGAATGAAAGACTAAAGTATCTGAAATGGGAATACTTGGTATGAAAAATAATAGTTTAGTACCTGGATAAGACCATTGGTGCGGCCCCCAAAAAGGCGATTGTAAGTTTCAAGCTGTTGCAGAGTGTTAGCAACAGAAGGGTTATGACGATCACTTACTGAAGCCTGAGTAGGAACCAACAAAGTAATCTGACGACGACATAAAGGGCATTTACATGGTTGAAATGTGGATCCATGTCGCCAAACAAGCAGTATGCAGTTACCTAATCAAATAATTATTAATTATAATACAAATGGTATAGAAGAAGATAAAGAAAGAGAGAGAGAGAGGGAAGGCACCGCAAAACCAGTGAGAGCAGTTGGCTTGACAAGGAACGTTGAAGTTTCCATGGCAAACCGAGCAAAAATCATTCTCTGCAGGTCCATCCATTCTTCTTCTTCTTCTTCACTCTTTCTTTCTATCACTGCCAATCAGATCTACCTTTCTTTCTTTTAGTTAAATCACACCGTTTCTCACAAAATTTCTTAACTAAAGGCATTACGGCAGGGATCTCTATAATAGTTTCCACAGTTTTGTGGGTCTAATGAATTTCCAGAGTACAGGGTTTGGGTGGATAAACCCAATCGTATTAAATTGGCCGAACAAATGCACCCACCCATAGTTTGCTACAAATACCCAAAAAGTTTGAAAACGTCAATTACCTACCTTCCGTCCAAATCTGTTAGTAAAGTTCGTTTAAAGAAGGATAATATGATAATTTTATATCCGACAAAAAAAAATATAACTTTCTGCATTGGTCACGTGTCCATTTTCTCTCTTTAATATTAATTTTATAAAAATCTTCCTTTCAATTTTAATTATTTTATTTTTATAATTAATTTTAATTAAAATTTCGTCTTCATCTTTTTCATCTCTCACCAAAACCAGTGTCACCAGAACCAGGACAACAACCAGCAAAAACGACCAAAGCCTCAAAAAAACCTCACTCAAATCACTAAAAGATTCAATGCAAAAAATCCCCGAGAACCATTCTCAAACACTGAAAAGAACCAAAACTAGTAAAGGCATAGAAGGGTTGGGGCAAAACCTCAAACAAGTGGTATTCCAAAACTTGGAAAATCAATCATCAATGCCAAAACCGATCAGAAATCCCCAAAAATCAAACAAAAACACAGAAAAAACACTCCCAATTAATCTCCAACCATCAATTTCCCATTAGAAACTCCGAAAAACACCAATCAATCCCAATTCAACAAATAACAAAAACCTAAGGAATTCAATCAACGGTGAGATGTGAGCAAATGGCGACGAGAAAAATGGGGGTTTTGGAGATGGCACACCGAAAAGACGATTGGGGGGGAGAGGAAAGGTTTTCAATGACCGGGCTTCCGGAAAATGGGTGGGGAAGTGGAACAGCTTTGCAAAAGACCCCCCTTTTTTTTGCCCTTTTATGAGAGAGATGAAGAAGATGAAGACGGGAAGAGAGAGGAGAGAGACTTTCGATCTAGCCAGCTTTTAGTCCATTTTCCGATGTCGGGTTCTTTGCTTGGTGATTGGATGAAAAAGAGGGAGAAGAAAAGAAAGATAAGGGAGAGAAAAAGAGAAAGAGAAGGGGAGAAGAAGAAGAAAGACAAGAGATTTTGAAGGATTTTTTTAATTTTTTATTAATGTAATTTTTTTGAACTTTTTTAATGCACAAACCCTAAGACATAAAAAGTCAAAATTACCCTAAAAAATGATAAAATATCGATAAAACCATTTTAGTTAACAGATTTACTAACGGATTTAGACAGAAAGTTGGTATTTATCATTTTAAAACTTTTTGGGTATCAATTTGTCTTTACAGAAAACTCTGGGTAGGTGTATGTTGTTCCCCTATTAAATTAATGAGAAGTGCTAGTCTTACAAAGATAAATACAAAGGAGGCATACAAAGATAATCTCCACCCTTGATCTTCATGATTTCTCTCTCTCTCTCTTTCTCTTTTTCCGTTTTTTCTTTGTTTTTTTCTTCACTTTATAGACTTCTTTGTATAAGTCTTTGTAAGAATAGACTTATTCTAAATTAATCTATACACACATTTCAATCATATTAATTAAATTAGCTAAGATTTGGGGTTTTACGGTAAACCCCCTTATTTGTATAGAGTTTTTAAAACCTCTAGTATTTTGATACTACCCTAATCGTTATTTCGTTAGTTTCTTGTTAAATTTAACTGATATTGAGGTAATATGGATATTTTTAAATTATAGAAAAGGTAATTTCGACTTTAATAGCTTTAAGAAATATTAAATTCTATCCAATCTAATTTTTTCCAATTCATTCCTATAATGCGAAGAAAAAAAGTAAATAAATAAACAAATAAAATCCACCGGCTACACTAAACCCACCCTAAACTCTCGAGAAGAAAGAAAGCATTGATCAAAGTCCAACCCCACGTTCTCCTGGTGTTTGGGCTAGACCAACTATCCAGTAGTTGTGGCCCAAGTGACCTCGTACTTAGCAAGATAGGATATCAACCGCCAAATTGTGTGAGCAAGAAATGAGTTTCTCATGTTCCTTCTTTCTCAATGCTACCTTAAAACTTGCTACTCCTCACCTCTGTCCCTTTTCTGCCAAGTCTATCTCCAAAAAACGACTCCGTTTCTCCTCCAATGCAACCTCCCTAGAGCTCCCGCTTCTTCCTTTCAACACCAACGAGGTGAACTCTTCTCTTTCTTCACGTATCTTCAATATTATTGAGCCTGATCAATTTTATTAATTACTATTGCATTTGCGACTATTTCTGATATTATCAAAACTAAATTTAGATAACTTCACTTTATTATGTTTGGTTTGTACATATAAAAGTTTATTTATTTATTTTTTCATTTTAAATTACTCTTAATGTTTAGTAAATAAATTTTACCTGTTTTAGGGGGGGGGAAAAAGTGCTTTATCAAAGCGCTTTTTTCTAGCACGATTGATTTCTACCTTTTCTTTTACTTGAAATTATTATTGTATAAAAGTATAAACTTGTTGTAATGTGAAACTGAATTCTTTATTTATTTATTTATGTTTATGGTTTCAGGTTCTTGTTCCATCGGAGAGTAAAATATTGCATCTATATGAGGCCAGATATCTAGCTTTGTTAGAGGAGGTACTGGATTTTTATATCATGTTTGATGTTTAGAATTAAGTACATTTTTTTAATTAAAAATTATGATAAAACTATGTACATATTTGATGATTAAATAATTTCGGAATATAATTTCTGTTGGCTTCACTCACGAATGTTTCTTGAAACTGAGCGAGGATATAAGATGCTATTTGCTTGATATATTACTGCTGTTTGGTCTCCCCTCACCCATTTGGTCCATCTTTTATGATTTGGATGGCCAAAGTGCATTTTTCAACTTCTTGCATGGATGTTTGCTCATGGCAGGGTTAACGCCTCTGAATATCTATGAGACATGCATGCATTTGCTTGTGGCATCGTAGGTGCAGCATCCTTGTGGTGTTAAAAACTCTCTTTTAAAGCAAAATGTAGATTATAATTTTTAACCACATTGATGTGGTATGTATAAGAGGCAGGGGAGGATGAATCAGTAATCATATTTTTCTTCATTGTTTTTAAGTTTTCACTTGTGCTTTTCAAGTTGCTAGGGCGATTTAGATCGTTTCATTCTCTAGTCATTAAGAAGCATTGAGGATTTGGTCAAGGAAGAAGTTTTGTGCTGTGCAAGTGTATGGTTATAGCTTTTTTTGGGTAATTTGGTTGATAGGAATCAAAAACCTATTTGAGGATACGGAAGTAGATAAGCAGTATTTCTGAGATAAAGTTTGATTTGGCACCACTTTGGGCTTCCAGTTCAAAGGAAATTAAGGAATTACTTTCTATTTCAATTATTTGGCTTGAAATGTTGTTTGCTTTGGGTAGTTGGATGTTCTCTTATTGTTTTACATATGTTTTATTACAAGTTATGGTCGACAGTTTGCTTATATTACTCTTTATCTTTTATTTTTATTTTAGCACTAGATTGTATTTTCTGCATTTCTATATTCATAAAGTCCGTATTTCTTTCCTGCCTTACTCCTTTACCTTTGTAAGGCTTGGTAGGGGTTGGACTTCTTTGTATTTTTGCACATTAAATACATTTTTATTCTCACTGGAAATTTTTTCTTAGTGTAATTTAATTATTCTCATAAAAACTTCTAATTACTGTTGAAACAGTAGTAACTAACAATAACTTTTTTTTTCCTCTCCATTTTATTGGCTGCAGTCTTTATTGAGGAAAAAGCTTTTTGTGCATGTTGTGCTGGATCCTATTGCTATTAGTGAGTCAGCAGCTGAAGCATCATTTGCTGCTCGATATGGTTGTTTGGTTCTAATAGAAAATGTAATTTTCCTAATTTGTGATAACTTTTAGACATTAAAAGATAGAGTGGTTTATAAAAAAACTTAGTTTCTGTACTTGCAGTTAGAACGCTTAGATGTTGGAGCTTTAGTCACTATAAGGGGAGTTGGTCGTGTCAAGATCATCAGTTTTGTTCAGGTGAATAAAATTTTGATTTGAGATTATAATTGCCCTTCTTTTGTTAACTTATTGCCATGCATTGTTAGACTCATTTCTGTTTTTTATTTATGTCTATCTAGAAATTTTTGCTTCATCTGTTGGCTGGCCAACTTACATTGGTTATTAATTAGTTACATAATCTTCCATTATCATGTTCTCGAATTTTCAACAGATGGCCTTTTTTTGTTTGGAATAGCATAACATCAAACTAATTGAATTTATTCTAGTCCAATTTAAGTCAGCCCGACAATATTAATAAAACCTTGAAGATGGAATAAGACTGTGTTGAAGGACCAAGTTTCAAGTTTTGATTACAAATTATTGGAAGAGTGTCTTCATGCTTCAAGCCTTGCATCCTCTTTGGCCATTTGCTGCAGGTCCAACCAAAAAGAAACAGACATCCATCTTGGTGTACATCCACTCTTAGACCTTCTAATGCTCATGGAGAGAGAGAGAGAGAGAGAGAGAGAGCCATCTTAATCTACAATCACTCTTGGACTCTCTTATGCTTAAGGAAATGAACACATTCATTATGACACGAGGTGAGTAAGTGAAGTTGATGACGACACAACCGCAATGCTAAAAAAAAATGCTATTTGATAACACTCAGCACAACCTTTAAGTAACTGGAAAATTATACTGATATATTGAAATGAAAATGATGGCCAAACAAGGTGGATACAAGGAATAACAATGACAGAAAAATGAAAGGGGTGACTAGCACTTCGAGGGGCTAGTGGCCTCCATGATGCCATTAACCAGCTATTCCCCCCCACACCCCACCCCCTCGTGCGTATATGCAACTGAAATCACACTCTCAACACTCCCTCTTCCTACGTGGAGATTCCATATTAACTAACTCTAATATGAATTTCCCTAACTGCCCATTCTAACTAAATTTCCCTAGTTGCCCTTTCCCTTCTTCTTCTTGTATAGCTCAGTTATAGGAGGCCTATCAAGTACCAAACCAACCCCCCCCCCCCCCCCCCCCCCCCCCAAAAAAAAAAACTTTTCTTTCGAGAGCCACCTTGTCATCAAGGCGAAAAAATCTGGGAACTATAGATTAATCACGTCATAAGCCTCCCAAGTGGCGTGGCTTCAAAGGGTGGGAGGTCCTGCCATTTAATCAGAACTTCCAAGGAGCCATCCAGCAACTGGCGAGTGGAGAGGACAGCTTCAGGGCGCACTTGAAGTTCCAAGTCTTCAGTCAGAAAAGAGGGAAGCTATTGGA